AAAAAAAAAAAAAAAAAAAAAAAAAAAAAAAAAAAAAAAAAAAAAATCCAGTCTTGTTTTAAAAGTTTCCAGTGATACAGAATCCATCACAATCTATTCCTATTTGAGTATCCTCTTTATATATTTTATGATCGCATTAGCTTTTTAGGCCACAGCATCACACTGAGAGGTCAAGTTCAACTGATTATCCATCATGCTCCCCAAATCACTCTGGAGTCACTGCTTCACAGGATAGAGGCCCCTATCATGTAAATATGGCCTACCTTCTTTGTTCCTAGGTATATACATTTAGATATATTAAAACACATATTGTTTGCTTGTGCCAAGTTTACTAATCGATCCATATCACTCTGAATCAGTGACCTGTCCTCTTCATTATTTACCACTCCCACAATTTGTATCATCTGCAAACATTATCAGTGATGATTTGATATTTTCTTCCAGGTCATTGATAAAAAATGTTAAATACCATAGGGCCAAGAACCGATCCTTACAGGGCTTCTTAGAAACACACCTGCTCAATAATTATTCCTCATCTCCAATTACGTTTGGAGACCTATCAGTTAGCCAGCTTTTAATCCATTTAATGCGTACCATGTTCATTTTATATCTATTTTTTTTAAATCAAAATGTCATGGTACCAAGTCAAATGCCTTACAGAAGTCTATGCATTTTACATGAACACTATTACCTTTATCAACCAAATTTATAATCTCATCAAAAACAGAGAAAAAAATGATAGTTTCCTACCATTGGATATGGTTGTGCCTTCTTCTAACTTAAAGAAGTTTAGATTCTGCACAATCTGATTGTGCCAGGCAACCCGTGTAAGGCACACATGATATGTTGAAATGAGACAGGCAAGTACGTCTAAGCTTTAAAATCAGGAATCCAACCCCCTTCCCTCCAAACTAAGGGTAACCCCACCGCTCTCAGGTGTAGCCCTGCAGCCAGCCAGGAGCTTCAGCTGAGAGAGCTCTGTGCATAAAGGATCCATCTGGTAAAGCAGAGCGTGCAGGTCCTGGAAGGGGGCGGGGGGGGGGGGAAGAGGGAGAAGAGATCCACAGCCAGCAGAATGCAGGACAATGGATTCCCCTAGCAGGATGGCAAAGGACAACCTAGACACCAAGACTATGTCTCCCCATACTGTTCCCATTGGCAACTGCTTGTTTGTGCAGCTCGATGCCTTGCGGGATTGAGGAGTTCTAGCGTGGTCTGTTTCCAGGATTAGGTTTCTGGTAGGAACATGCTTCACCTTTATGCTTTTTCACTGGTACCTCACTGTCTTCTGAGGAAGAGTCAGATGAACTAGGTGGAGGAGTTTTAGCCCCACAGCCTCTCTCACGTAGGACTTTTGTTACATCATCTATATCCTCAGAGTCCTTTGGAGGGCGATAGTTAGCGACATGGTCCACCCGAATTGTCCTTCCTTTTATCTATACAAAGGAAAGGCTGGATCATTAGTAAAGCTGCCAATAAGCCCACAAGGCTACAGAAAGTACACAGCACACAGGCGAAAGCCACAGGACTTGGGCTCCAAGCCTGGGCTCAAGACCTCCTGCTTTCACAGCGCATGACCAGGCTCCCTCTTTGTGATTACATTAGAAGAGGTTCTGTTACAAACCTCAGTCACAGAGAACATGCCCTGCCCCAGGACTCAAAGTAGAGCCATTCAGACACCAGAAGGCCAGATCAATCCAGCTATAGTTTGAAACATCCTCTATCCAAGCAGGTGTCAAGTATCAGGGGGTAGCCGTGTTAGTCTGTATCTACAAAAACAACAAGGAGTCTGGTGGCACCTTAAAGACTAACAGATTTATTTGGGCATAAGCTTTCGTGGGTAAAAACCTCACTTCTTCAGATGCATAGAGTGAAAGTTACAGATGCAGGCATTATATACTGACACGTGCACATATGCATCTGAAGAAGTGAGGTTTTTACCCACGAAAGCTTATGCCCAAATAAATCTGTTAGTCTTTAAGGTGCCACCAGACTCCTTGTTATCCAAGCAGGGGCAGCCATGAGCTCTCCCTGTCCCTGCACTCCTCTCTACCACAGCATCAGATGACTGTGGGAGACATGCCACCTTCCATGGCCTTCCACACTTGGTAAAATACTCCTACGTACCAAAAATGTTATCATTAATACATTGGAAAAATAATGAGTGACCCCTCAGCGCTGTGAGTAAGAGGGCTTTGCGAAGACGAGTACCCAGCCACAGCCCAAAAGCCAGGGGAACACTCCTGGGACAGTCCCGTCAGAGGGGTTTCCTTGTACAAAGAAATAAGATGCTACCAAGAAGTGTAAAATGGGGAGGCGAGTCCTAATCCCTGGAGTTGGATGAGAACCAATATATACGTTAGGGAGAAACAAGAAGCAGAGAGGGAGGATCTGCATGTTCCTAGCCTCAAAGAGAGTCTGTAAGACTGACAGAACCAGACGTCAGTTCCAAGGCCCAGGATATAGCAGTTTTTGTGAAGCAGGGTTGCAATGACACTCAGAGCAGGTATGGTGCTGGGATTGGAGAATGAGTAGCTCCATGACCAGAAAGAAAGAAACCCCATGACTCTCACTGGGACCAAGGCCAACAAAGTTGTATGAGGCAATGGGTGCCAACAGGAGTCCAATGTGCCCATTGATGGGGGGATGACGGCTGCAGCTGGCTCACAAAAGCTTCAGAAACACTAGCAGACAGAAAGAGCACAAGGAGGAAGTTTATCAAGGAGATTGAGAGCTGCTCTGCTTAAGGACAGTCACAGTGATCGGGGAACAGCAACATTAGTGTGGTCAGAGCACTGAGCACTGTACTTCTGCTGATGGAACCAGCTGCTTGGAACTGTGGCCTGGGGAAGCTCCTGCTTCACAGTGATTTTTTGGAGGCACACTTTATTCCCCATGTTGATAAGATGTTCAGAAAGATCTTATCAGGTGTCAACAGTATTCTCCTTGGACAGCAAAAAGATCTTTTGCTGAAGAGTTCAAGCCTAAAAACAGGGGTTAAATATGGAAGTGCCTTCTCTGCCAGAACTCTAGCACAAGGGTGTCAAACACATTCTGGGGCAAGTGAAAGGTTCAAGAGCTAAGGGCACAGGGCCCGTTTTGCAGTATTGTCTGCCTGCAAAATGAGCCTCTTTAGTCAGTGAACATCAATGTGGCATTTAGAGACAAACTGACTCCTCCACTCCTGGCATTTCTCATGACCACTTTGCCGTGACCCACATACACACCTTTTGGTGAACAATTCTCCTCCAGTTATATACACTATTGAGCACTCCCCTCACCCCCTCTTTGGGGCATTTCTCTCCCAACCTCCAGATCTGCTCCCTGTAACTTAGAAGCTGCCACCTCTCTTGTGGGTCCCAACAGCAGTGGTGAGGGAGTGGGGGGATGGGTTGAAAAGAAGCCACCTCTGACCCCCAGTACTGGGAGGCTTCAATGTGGTAAGGAGGAGGAAGGAGCCTGCTTCCACAGCAGGAGCAGAGAGACTGGACAGGCTCCTCCTTCAATGTCACATTGTGGGGCGTTGTGAGGCCAGCTGTACAAAGGGCTGATGCTAAGGTGGGGAGAGGCATAAATGCCTGGGATCAGACACAGGCTCCCTTCACAATTCTACTCACTCCATCTCCTGCTCCATACCTGAGCTGCCCTAGGTGGGTAGCTGGAGACCAGATCCCTTTGTGAGTTATAGAGGAAGCTGCACACTAGAGGAAAGGGCTCTGAAGGTTAGATCCATCCCATGTGCCATATTGGACATCTCTGCTCTTGTGGCACTAATATACTGCTGTAATTCCCTCTGCAGACACTAGGGGAGCCACAAATGCTTCTAACTGTGCACCCTTGGACATGGAAAGAATGGTGAACTGGAGCTCTGGGTGCCCTAATGTCATGGCAAATAACAGCCCTATACTAGCAGCCAATCTGGGCACAGACAGGACTTTATTTAAGGCATGTCTCTTTTCTTTGATATACCAACCTTGATCCCATTAAAGTTGTCAACAGCAAGTATGGTGCTTCTCTGATCTTCGTAGCAAATAAAACAGAAACCTTTCGATTTTCCAGTCTTTTTATCTCGCACCAGATTAATGTTCACAATTTCTCCATATCTAGAAAGAAAACAATTGTAGTCACAAATGCTTAGTCTTAGCACCAAAGGCGAGGGAAATGACAATTCCATGGAAAACCTAATAGGAAAAGTCACCAGCCCGCGAGATTCATCCTGCAATTATGGGGGGGGGGGGGTCTCTGAGAGACCACGTGTCATGCAGTACAGTAACTCCTCGCTTAACGTTGTAGTTATGTTCCTGAAAAATGCGACTTTAAGTGAAATAATGTTAAGCAAATCCAATTTCCCCATAAGAATTAATGTAAATGTGGGGGGTTAGGTTCCAGGGAAATTTTTTTCACCACACAAAAAACTATATTATATATATATACACACACACACACAGTATAAGTTTTAAACAAACAAATTTTACTGTTCACAGCAATGATGATTGTGAAGCTTGGTTGAGGTGGTGAAGTTAGAGGGTGGAAGAAGGTGGGATATTTCCCGGGGAATGCCTTACTGCTAAATGATGAACTAGCATTCAGCTGAGCCCTCAAGGATTAACACATTGTTGTTAATGTAGCCTCACACTCTACAAGGCAGCACAAATGGAGGGAGGGGAGACAGCATGGCAGACAGAGACAGAGAGACACACCCTGTGTGTGGGAGAGAGATGCGCATTGCCCCTTTAAGTACGCTGACACCACTCTAAGTACACTGCCTTTAAAAAGATCAAGAAGTTGGAGACAGCAGCTATGGCTAGCAAGCTCTCTCCATCCTGAGCCCTGTCATGTCCCCACCCTGCTCTATATGGAGAAGGGGTAAGTGGGGGGCAGGAGTAGGGGAGAGAGGGACACCCTGACATTAGCCCCCCTCTTACTCCCTCCCCTGCACAGCAACCAGGAGGCTCCCGGGAGCAGCTCCAAGGCAAAGGACAGGAGCAGCACATGGCAGTGGGGTGAGGGACAGCTGAACTGCCGACAATTGGTACCCTGCTGGGCGGCTGCTGCACAGGGAACTTAGGGGAGCTGATAGGGGGCTGCAAGTCCACCCTGGTTCCAAGCTCCCACCAGCTAGCTGCAACAGGCTGCTCTTCCTGCAAGCAGTGGACAAAACAGGCAGCTGCCAAACAACGATATAAGGGAGCATTGCGCAACTTTAAACGAGCATGTTCCCTAATTGATCAGCAATGTAACAACGAAACAACGTTAACCGGGACGACTTTAAGCGAGGAGTTACTGTACCAAGGCTTAACACCAACCATTTGGCCTCATGCTGCAACCCTGCTAAACTACTGAGAATGAAAAATGAAATTCCACTTACTGTGAAAACACGCATATGATATCACCTTCTGTCAACTCATAGGGGAGACCTCCTGAGGAGAAGGAAACAGAGGTTATGCTGCTCAACTGAATAGGACTGCAGTACAGCCTTTCCTCCTGGCCTTGCGGATTACCATGCCGATCCCCTCAACCCAATATGCCTCTCCTCTGTTTCCCATACTCTAGGCAACAATTCTTCAAATATTTAAGTCATTTGATTTAGTCAGAACAATTTCATAATGCTGAAGAAGTTCTACAGAACTTTCTTAAACGCATAAAACAATTTTAATCTAGACACCAGTCTAGAAATTAACACTAGACACATGGAGAAATTTGGATTAACCTCATTATACAGAGAATCAGGTTTTTAGAAGTACTCAACACCGAACACTTTTAATTCTTTTGAAAATCTGAGCACTTGAGAATCTGCTCCAGTATATGCAACATGGACAAGTTAAGATTGGTTTGACAGATTTAACTTTGCATTTCCTGATGGGTGTGTTTGATTTTGTATCCTCAATGTTTCTGATGATGCAAGTTTTGCATTTAGTTTGTTTTTTTAGAAAACAGTTAGGAAAAAGGAAATCCCCTTATTGTAACACTAAGGAATAGAAGAATTGTATTCTGCAGATTTCTTTAGGCATTAATTTTCACCACTCTAGATACATAGTTACAGCACTATCCTCGCAAGCTTTTGTTTCTTCAATAGCACCCCAAGTAGTTAGGCAAATTATTTAGAGAGTAATGTGACATTTCATCCTCACAAGCCCCCAGTAAAACTATTCCTCACTGGGAATTTATCCACACAGTGTGTGAACTTCAGACATTTGAGTTACCTGAAGGCCAAGAGAGCCTAATGTTCCTTTTGAAAAGGGACACTGACAGCCTGAATTGCTTTGAAACTAATTTAAAATACTTCAATTTTCTGAGTGAGCCCCCTTTAATAGTACACCCAGGACTTTAGAAGTGGCTACGTGTTTCTGCTTTCCTCATCATGTTTAGGAGGATTTTATGGACCTTTCCTTCTGCCTTCCTGCAACCGTTCCTCTCTCTGCACACCCCTGCCTGTAGCTTTATTGCTGCTGTTATAGCAGTGTGTGGGGCAGAGCATGCATATGAGCAATGCCATTGTTCTAGTGTGAAAAAAGACACTGCACTGTGTGTTTAAGTGCCCTGAGAAGACAAGGATACAAAGGGAAAGAGTAGAGAACAAAACATAATAGTCAGTGGATCTGTGCTACGTCTTCACTTTTAAACATGTTTTGGGAGGTATCCCTTCAGTGTGCTAGACTCCCAAGGGGTCCCACTACTTCCTCAAGGATAGGCCACATGGTCTCAACACCTCCCAGACTCAAACCTCTGGGCTCCAGCAGTCCTGTTTCCCTCCCCCCTCTCCACCCCCGCTTCCCCCATGAGTGTTGCCCAGCAAATCCAACTGAACTAGACTCCCGTTCAAGAGACTTTTCCCCTCTTCAGGGATCAATGCATCTCAGCAAGTATTTGCAGTGACACTAGGCTACCTTTCAAAACAGAGTAGGGTTTATTAGTCAATTGGAACACAGCATCAGGAAGTCTGTAGGTTAGCGAAGAGAAGCAAAGGTTATGACATAGTCCATACTGGCCAATGCCATGTTTCCCTTGAGCCATGCTGCTAGAAGCCATCTTGGTTTCCTTTCTCTGTCTGTCCCTTTGTCTTAGGTCCAGGAAAGCCCGCTGTCCCTTTCTGAGCCCAGTACTTCTTACCACCTACTGTCACTTCCCCACATTGTCTTCCCAGTTAAGCTGGGAGTCTCCCATTGATAGCTGTCAACTGTTCAGTCACTGAGGTTTCCATTGTCTCAGTCAATTGATATGAGCTGGTCCCAGCCAGTCCTGAACAACCCATTCATGACACCCCAGACAGTTACATGACATAACACCTCAAGTCTCCTGATCTTTCCACTCAGGGCATGCATCACTGAGGGTACGTCTTCACTACCAATGTTAAAGCGCTGCTGCGGCAGCACTTTAACGTGGATGTGCAGTTGTGGCACCAGCGCTGGGAGAGAGCTCTCCCAGTGCTGTAAAAAAACCACCATCACGAGGGGAGCGTGGCTCCCAGCAGTGCTGGTGCACTATCTATGCTGCCACTTTACAGCGCTGAAACTTGCATTGCTCAGGGGGAGAAAGTTTCAGTGCTGTAAAGTGGCAGTGTAGACAAGGCCTAAGAGAAGAAGTAAACTAAGATGCATATTAGAATCATAAAAATATTACCAACATTCCCACACTGGTCACAGTACAAACAAATATTTTCCATTGAAAGTGTTATTTTCATTATTAATAGTAATAATATTTGTATTATAGCAGTGTGTAAGGATCCCAGTCATAGACCAGGACCCCACTGTGACAGGTACTCTTACAGACACAGGACAGAAGAGATTACACTTTCACAGCAGCAGGGGAACATGTCCATCACAACAGCAAATTTGAAGTCCATAATCTGAACCTGGGAGAGCTAGGAAAGAGTCTTGAAGTCTTGGGAAAGAAAGAAATCCTAGAACTCCTTATTCCTGAGCCTCTTTGGGCCTAAAGCATATCAAGACTGCATGATCCATCCCCGGAGCAACTTACCAGAGAGGAAGACCCTGGGAGTCCTTGCACCCACAACATGTTCTCTCAGTGCCTCTCAACAGAGACTGACATTGTTACAACACACAGCAACAGTGAAATAAGACTTCACTCGGCGCTCAGCCTCCAGAGCTGACTCACAGGGGTCATGATACAGGACCTGGGGGAACTAGTACCAAGATTGCTGTACCAAGCACATACCCACGAAGATCCAGGCGCTATCACTGTACTCTGCATGCCATGACACCTTCTCCTGTATGCCCAGCTCAGCCTCCCGTTGGTTCAGCTCATTGATCAGTTTCACCTTCGTCAGGGGGCTGCAGGGCAAAGGCCAAACAGTTACCAAGGTATGGACATCACCCTGTCCAATGCCTCCCTCCAAACACAGCCCCTCGACCCCCTCAAACAGGCCACCCACAAACACCCCCTGTATCCTCTATGCAGCTCCCTGCCCCCACATATCCCCATGCAGCCCCCCCCCCACGAACAGCCCCTGTAATCCCCTGTGCAGCTCCCTGCCCCCACATATCCCTATGCAGCCACCCCCAAACAG